ATCCTGAAGGGGAGTGGGCCTAAGCCGTCATTTGGACATCCCCTGAGGGGTCCTGGACTGCGAGAGGGTGCAGGCCAGGCTGAGGGACTCCCTTGAGTGCATGAATTTTTGTGCACCGGGCCTCTAGTCATTATATAAATATTTATTAAGTAGGGGCTAAACCCAGGCATCTGGCTCCAGAGTCCACTTCTTAAGACAGTAACAACGCAGGTGGAACTTTCTACCCTCTTGTCTTTGTGATCTCGAGAAGGAGAGGATAGAGAAGGAAGGGGAGACGATTCTGAGTGCTGATCTGGTAAAGACGTAGGAAGCTACGCACAGCCTGAAACAAAATCATTTCTGCTTTAGAACCAGCCTCATTCTTTAGGGCCCCAAGCCCAGCAGGCTCATGAAGCGGGGAGGCTTGAAGCGGCTCAGGACTCCTACCCACGGTTTAGGTGAAAGTCAGCCGTGACTTTAGAGGGACTTTCACCTCAATTTCAATTTCCCTCCAGGCAGATTTAGAAATCCAGTCTAGACCCATAGTTCAGGGGATGTCAGAGCCAGGAGACCCTGCTAGGCCCTCTATCCAAAGGCTTCCATCTGGAGAAGGGAACTGCCCCGGGGTGACATGGTTGGGTACTGGCTATTCTGTTCTCCAACCTCCCCAATCTCAAGCCCCCGTGTGCTGCGAGGGTGGGCAGCGGGAGGAGCGAGTCAAGGCTCCACATCCCAGACGGACACGCAGTCTCAGCAGCGGGGTCAGTGGTTTGGAGGAAGGATGGAGGGCCCTTTGTTGGGGGCAAGGGGCAGGAATGGGGCAGGGAGTGTTCAGCATCACACCACATCTCACCTGTTTTTACTTCCTAGAGAATCCTTAGGGTGGGAAGGCGTCCTGCCCAAACCCCTTGCCTCCCCTTTCTCTGCTCCCAGCCTGGAAATGCCCCTCCGCTCGCCTCCCATAGCGACAGTTTCCCTGACCAGCCACAGGGTAGGATCTGTGTGGTGAAGTGTATGGCTCAGTGGAAGGAAAACCGGAGACCAGCTCCAGTGGGCCAGAGCGGGCCGTTTTCTTGTTCTAACACATTTTTCCGAGTCTGGGAATGGAGAGGCCTTCCTTGAGGTCTCGCATATCACAAAGGGCACCGGGAGTTTGATCCTGGTGAGGAAAAAGGCATTCCCTTCGGACATTCTCACACGCAGAACACACAGGTTCATTGTTTGAGCTTCGCCAGAATGGACTATGAGTGGAACCGCGCTCTGGCGCCTGCTTGGTGATAAAATCCTTGGCAAAAACAAGCTTCCCAAGCCAACTGAGCTGCAGGAGCCTTTCTAGCCGCTGAAGCCGGCACAGATGGGATCACAGAGGGACTTGCCATGCAGCCCGGCAACTGTTTGCTCATTTTACCATATTTCTTCCAAATGGTTCATGTCAGCTCCAGGTTGCAAACCAGCTAAAATTCTACCAAACAGATGTGGGCCACCACAGCAGAGGAGGAACCCTCCAGCCAGGGGCTGGATCACGCCAGGGGGTGAGAGCAGAAGCGTCCACAGGAGGAGAGGGTTGCAAGGACAGTGGAGGCAGAGGGGTGCCTGAGGAGCCCCTGGACACCTCACAAGCCATCGAGCCCAGGTTTCATCTCCTTCCTCCCCAGAGAACCAGTGGGATGCGGTGTGGGGTGCATCAGCCTCCCCTGGGTCTGTGAGGACCCCCAGGACCACCTCATACAGCGCCCGAACGGCAGGGCTTCAGGAACAAAACCATGCCTGACAAGGAATGAGGGAAGGTCGGTGCGACTCAGGCTGCGCAGCCTTCAATGTGGGTGGGAACCCAGGCAGGGAGCCGTCAGGACACAGAGCAGCAGCTGCAGAGAGCTGCGGGTTCACGGGCACACAGCCCCCCACTGTGGGGTCCATCTGGGTAGAGAGAGGCAGGGACCCCCGAGAGGGTGCTCAGCTGGTTCAGAAGGGTTTTCACTCCTGAGCAAGCTGGGGTGCAGGGAGGCCACCGCAGCCCCGGGCACCTTACCAACCTCAGCAGGGAAGCTCCCCCATCTTCCCTGCCCACACAAGGGTGATCTGACACTGAACTTAATGGGCCCAGGAGAGGGGGCCCGAGGCAGAGAGAGAGAACAGAACATCCTTTCAGGCGGGGACCTAGCCAGGTGCCTCCTTGGGAACAGAATGCCTGGCACGGCCACTCGATCAGGACCAAGAGGCATTTTATAACAAAGAGCCAGAGGGAAACAGGTCTGGGGCAGCGGCACGTTATGATTTGTAAGGCGAAGCAAAGAAGGGACAGGAAATTAGAAATGCAAGCCGCTCAGGACGTCTGCTGAAGCAGAAACACCGCCTGAAGATAAACCGACGAGTCTCTAAGCACAGGATTATGTCCAGGCTGCCCTTGTTCAAAGCATTCCCGCTACCCCAACATGAACCCACAAAAACAGCAGGTACTTAGAAGAATGGCGGAGTTCTCTGGCCGCCATGTCGGCTGGTTCTTGTGGAGGAGTTGTGACAGCCTTGAGGCAGAGAGAATGACACAGGGAGGAGGAGGGATGGGACCACAGACTCCTCACCTGCCACAGCAAGGCCGGGGCTGTGAGCCCTCTTACTGCCTCTACCTCAGCTCTGCTCCTGAGGCACAGCACCCTCACTGCCAGCATCCGAGCGGGGAGGACACGGGGGCTCAGTAAATCAGGTGCAGGACCTGACTCGGGGAGGACACAGGGGCTCAGTGCGTCAGGGGCAGGGCCCGCCTCGGGGAGGGACAGAGGGCTCAGTGGGTCACGTGCAGGGCCCGCCTCAGAGACCTCTGTATGGGGAGGGACACAGGGGCTCAGTGGGTCAGGGGTAGGGCCCATCTTGGGGAGGGACAGAGGGCTCAGTGGGCCAGGGGCAGGGCCTGACTCAGGGAGGGACAGTGCATCAGAGGCAAGGCCCCAACTTGAACCCAGGGCTCCTGATCTCCAGGTCTCTTTCATCTTTCCCTCAGATTCCACAAGTTCACGTTCCAAGTAGTACTTAGATTTCAATCCTTTCTCTGGATTTCGCCAAAGCCAGGGCACTGGGTCCAAGCCATCAGATGATGCCACTGCCACTGACATTTCACAGCCTTGGGGCTCAGACCTGAG